CAGCGGCGGCAGCGGGCGGGCGGGCGCCGCTCGGGGCGCGGGCGGGCAGCATGGAGGAGCTGAGCAGCGTTGGCGAGCAGGTCTTCGCCGCCGAGTGCATCCTGAGCAAACGGCTGCGCAAGGTGCGTGCGGCCCGCGCGTCTGGCCCGCACCCTGGGCCGCCCTTCGCCGCTCACGCGCCCTTCTCTTCCTGCAGGGGAAGCTCGAGTACCTGGTGAAGTGGCGCGGCTGGTCCTCCAAGTGAGTCCTCGATGCGGCCGCTTCCCGCGCCGGCGCCCGGGCGCGGTGGGTGGGTAACGCGAGGTGCCGGGGGGTGCCTGGGGCCCCCCATCGTGCTGGCTCGGGGCGCCGAGCCCGGCGGGCTGCCCTTTGTTTACCGGGCGCGGGCGCGCGGCCTCCCGCCTGCACCCCCCCGCCCCACTGGCCCGCGCTCGGCGCTCTGCCCGCGCCCATTTGTTGCATGCGCCCCGCCGGCGCGCCCTACGAGCCGGGCTGGGTACGGGAGCGCGGAACGCGGGGGGCCCCCTCGGTGACCATATTCCCTTGCTGTAACCTGAGCCTTCTGTTGATGGACGTTGGGTCTCTTCCCCCCTTCTCTACTTGTAATGGGAGGGAGGGGGTGCGGCACCTTGGGAAGGGGCTCTTTCCTTCTACAGGTGGTCCCGCAGGCCCGCGTTCCCTTTCTTTCCGGGTTCCCTCGGTCGCCAGCCCGCACACACTTGTCCAGCAACACTGTTGCTCTGAATCTCCGATTGTGGTTTCCTGGCGTCTCCCCCTCCCTGCCCCTGTAGCCACTGAGCCTTCCCGCACTGGCTTAGGGCCAGGGTCTGGGGGGATTCCCTCACTGCAACTTTGCATTTTATTGGGCTGTGTTTTCCTCCCGAGAGAGGGGCGGGACAGTTCTTTTTGGCCACCTTGTAAGTGAGGTAGTGGAGGTGGCGGGTTTGCCACTGGGGTTGAGGTTAAGAGTGTCTCCAACTTCCAGCAGTCCACCTTGGACTGGCTCCGGCCCCTCTGGGACAATGCCCTGGCCACAAACCCGCCAGGCTCCTTTCCTGAATAGCCCTGCCCTTCCCTCTTCCAGACACAACAGCTGGGAGCCAGAGGAGAATATCTTGGACCCGAGGCTGCTCCTGGCCTTCCAGAAGAAGTGAGAAATTCACAGGGGGGTGGCGGGATGTGCTGGCTTGGCTGGGGGCTGAGGGTCACAAGGGCTGCCCAGTGCCACAAGTGCGGGTTCTCCAGGAGCCCTGGGCTGGGACTGGGCTCCTATAGCAGGCTGTCACCAGGCATCTGATGCCCGCTCCACGGCTACCTGGAAAGGCAATGCCAACTGAGGTCCCTGACCAAACCTTGCCCACCTTCCCTGTGCCGACCACCCTGAGGATTCGCCCAGTAAGTGCTTCTGTTGATCTTTGTGATCGCCCAGCTTGCAGAAATGAAACTTCAGGGGACCTTGGAGAAAGGTTCTGGCTTCCCCACCTTGGCCTTTTCTGTTGGGTAAATTGCAGTGAACAGGAACAAAATCCAGCATGCAGGTTTCCATAGAGCCTTTGAGCTGAACACCTGGCGCTGCTATGTCAGGCTTGTCCTGGGGTCTCAGTACCAAGAACAACACAAGTTTTTTTTTGTTTGCTTCTTGGCTGCAAAACAATATCAAGCGAGCCCCCAAGGGGCCCTCTTGCTAGTCCCTGGGGCCAAATTTGCTTCTGTAATTCCAGATATCTGTTCTATTTTTAGGTAGGAAACTTGGGTTAAGAGAGAGAACTTCTGGAGATACTGGGTGGGAAATGGGGCCTGGGACAAGGGCATGCCCCTATCCTGGTGGGAATGGCCCCATTGGGCAGGGGAAGGTAACAGCGTGTGGCTAGCATAGTTGAATGATGACCCGCCTCCTTGCCGACTCAGCTGGGGTGAGTCTGGCAGGGACATTCTCAGGCTGTGCTCAATGTTGTGCTCACAGTCGCCAGGCATTTTGGGTCTTCGCAGAGGGGTCCGTTTGGGGGGTAAGTGGGTAACAGGAAATGAGCTGAGCAGTTGCTTCCTTATGTGGCCCTGGGTGGTACAAACAGTTAAGCACTTTGCCATGAACTGAAAGGTTGCCTGCCACTTTGAGTCTCCCCAGGGGTGCTGTGAAAGAAAAGCTTGGCAATCTACTCCCCAGGAATCAGCCCCCCAAACAACCTGTGGCTTACAGTTCTCCCCTGACACACGTGGGATCACCATAAGTTGAAGTCAACTCCAGGGCAAGGGGTTTTGACTTTATTTTTATTATCATTGTTTGTTCATTTTTAGATGATAACATCTAGACAACCTTAGCGTAGTTATCTTCTATTTAATTCATAATTGGGCTTCGATGATAAGTGATGGGGGAGAGAGAGGAGGGTGTGTCCTTAACTTGGCATTTAGTGGTAAGCAAACAAGAACTATGGATAGGAAACACAAGACTGTAAGAGTTTAGCTCTGGCATGATGGGTTTCAGTTGTGAAGGAGACTGATGAGGAGGTGGATGTTCTTTCTTTCCTATCCCACCAGAAGGTGAGCTCGAGGAGGTGTAGTTGTTCGTTTGGTGTCCTTGTGGCATGGGACAGGCATGTTCTTTGACCAGAAGAAGAGTGCTGAGTGGTAGGTTCCGATCACCTGGGGTCGAGATTAACAGGTGTTGGGACCAAATCTTTTTAGCAGCTGGAGCGCCATCTGGATACACTAATTGGGTTTTTTAAGATTTTCCAGCCCCCATGAGGTGCCGTTCATTATCAGAAAACTTCTCCAGATAGATCCTCTTCCTCCGGGGAAGGATGTGAAATAGGAACTTCAGTGGGGGTGGGGCAAAAGGACAGAAGAAAGTGTTGTAGATGGCCCGGGCTTTGAGCCCTGGCCACTGCGGAATTGTACGTTGTGTTCATCAAGTGTAGAGTTTAGGAACAGTTTTTTTTTGTTTTTTTTTCCCGCAATAGAAAGGTGAGCCAGAAGTACTGGATCTGGGGGGAGAACTGGACTGGGAGAAGTTTTAGGGCTGGTGATGGGGAGCAAGGGCTGAGTTTTGGTCCCCCTGCCCTGGCCCGCCTTCTTAGTTGTGAAGTGAGGAGGTTGGTCCCGGTGACTATCAAGAATTTCTCTAGTTGTGACGTTCTTGGACTTTCACAAAGCATTTTACATGCAGGAAATGGCTAGGAATGAACACAGGCTTGTGTAAGGAGAGCTGGTGGTGAATTACTTATGCGCTGGGCTGCTATCCAAAAGGTTGGGGGTTTGAATCCAGCAGCCTCTCCATTGGAGACAGATGAGGCCATCGTAAAGAATGCAGCCTTGGAAACCCTGTGGGACAGTTCTCTGCCCAAGATCGCCACTGAGTTGGAACTGACTCCATGCTGGGTTAGGTTTGGATTTCTGTCTTACGGCCATTGGGTTTTTTTGGGCTTGGCTGTTATCAGTTCAGTTTGAAAGATGTGATGGTGACATTGGCCCACGTCGGGTGCATCATTAGTGAAGGGGGAGTTTGGGGATCTGGTGCCGTATGTGGAGGGAGGGAGGGCGCCCCCTGACCTGTATGTGTCAACAGGGAACATGAAAAGGAGGTACAAAACCGCAAGAGGGGTAAGCGGCCTCGGGGCCGCCCCAGGAAGCACACCGTGATGTCATCATGCAGCCGGCGCGCCAAGCTCAAGGTGGGTGGGACGCAGCCCCAGAGTGTGTGAGCATTCGGGCGAGAGTGTTGGGGTCTGCAGAGTTGTGTGGGTTCTTGTTGCACGCTAAGCCTCTGTTGGGAGCAGGCCACACCTGCAAGCTGCAGTGGTCCCTGTGGGATTGTGGAAAGGGGGCAAGCCCAGTCCTGAGTGGCTTCCGGTGTGTTAGTATGGAGACCCTGACAGTGTTTCTAGGGGTGGGGAACAGAAAAGACCATCAAGTGTGTATTACAGGTCCTCACTCAACAGGCAGCTGGTCAAGCCAGGCTCCCTCTGACTCCGGGAAACTAGAACAGAGTACAGCTGTTCCTTAGGGTCCCCAAGACTTTATTTTTTACTGGAGCAGACTGCCTCATCTTTCTCCTGTAGAGCAGCTAGTGGGTTTGAACTGCCAACCTTGCAGTTAACAGTCCACTTAATCCCTTCTGTGCCTATAGACCTGGCCAAGTCACTGGGCTACCCTGGAAGGCCCTGAATTCTTGGCTGGGTGCAGCAGACACAGTAGCCAATGGAGTACCATGAAATGGTCTCAGAAGAAGGAACTATGTATGTATGGGTCAACCACCTTCCAGGAATGTCCCTCCCTGTTGTAATGGGGCTTGGTGAGGTAGAAACACCCCATTCCTCCGTGGGTCACAGGCAGAAGGGGGAACTTGTTGGCTGTAGGGTCTGGGCTTGGTGTCTGACCACTTCCTCAAGGTCACTGTTGGATTTGGGGTTATTGGTCCTAAAACAGCAGCTGGCAAACAGTGCCCTTCCCACGGGGCCACCTCAGAGTCTTGTTGGGTGTAGAGATGGTGTAAATTTGGGTTTCCATTTTCCAAAAGGCTGTTAGGGAGCTAGGAGCTAAACGTGCCTCCATCCTCACTGATCAGTGACTGTTAGCCGTGGTGGTGTGTGTGTTTTAACCCTCACTCTAGACTTCATAAGGGCACCCTGGTAGCACGGGGGGTTGAGCACCCAAAGGTCAGCAGCTTAAACTGCAGTGGCCCTGTCTTATCTAGAAGAAAGATATGGCTGTCAGTTCCTAGAGAGATTCCCAAGTAAACCCTGTAGAAGGGTCCTCTGTCCCATGGGATCACAGTAAGTCAATGACTTGAGGGCACACAGCAACTGACTGGCTTCATTTTATAGACCGACTCTTTTTCCATCCTTTTCTATCTGCAACCTCATGTGTTGTGTAATCTGCAAGGACGTTTTGAACCCCTTCTGGAATAGGGTGGTCAGGAAAGTACCGGGGGAGCTGGCTTCCGGGTGGCCGATACTTCCTGGGATGAATGGTGCTTTGGACCCGCGATGCCTGCTTGCAGAGGTAGTGATTCCCTCTTTGTCCCCCCAGGAACCCGATGCTCCCTCTAAATCCAAATCCAGTTCCTCTTCCTCTTCCACATCGTCCTCATCTTCCTCTGATGAAGACGATGACAGCGACCTAGATGCTAAGAGAGGCCCCCGGGGCCGGGAGACCCACCCAGTGCCCCAGAAGAAGGCTCAGATTTTGGTGGCCAAGCCTGAGCTGAAGGATCCCATCCGAAAGAAGCGAGGCCGCAAGCCACTGCCTCCAGAGCAGAAGGCCGCCCGGCGGCCCGTGAGCTTGGCCAAGGTGCTGAAGGCCACCCGTAAGGACCTGGGCATGCCAGCCAGCAAGCTGCCCCCTCCGCTCAGCGCCCCAGTGGCGGGCCTGGCAGCCCTGAAGGCCCACGCCAAGGAGGCCTGCGGTGGCCCCAGCAGCACGACCACCACCGAGAGTTTGGCCAACCTGATGAAGGGCGTGGCGGCCAGCCCCAGCCGCGGCGGCATCAGTTGGCAGAGCTCCATCGTCCACTACATGAGCCGCATGACCCAGAACCAGGCTGAGGCTACCAGCCGGCTGGCACTTAAAGGTCAGGCGGCCAGCAGGTGCAGCCTTGGCCTGGACCTGAAGGTGAGGACGCCAAAGGGGGACCTGGGGGTCAACCCTCCACCAAGCAAAGTGCAGAAGGCCCCTGGCAGCGGAGTCACAGAGCAGAAAGTGGGGAGCGCAGGGGGAACCCCACATGTCCAGGGTGGCAATAAGGTCCCTGTGGGCTGCCTGGGCCCTCAGCCCACACCCAGCCAGGAGCTGAGCCTCCAGGTCTTGGACCTTCAGAGTGTCAAGAATGGCACCTCGGGGGTTGGCATGCTCCCACGCCAAGCCACAGCCACCAAGGGCATCCCCACCACCCACCCAGCAGCAGGTAAGGGTGCTGGGGGTGGTCCCACATCAGGAAGCGGGCCTAGTGGGCCTACTGAGCCCAGCAAAAGTGACAAGTTGACCTCCCGGGCGGTGACCCTGCCCACCCCTACAGGCAAGCGGGACAGTGGGAAGAGGTTAGAGGGTCGCACGGCGTCCGGGGAGGCCCGGAAGGCTCCCACGCTCTTAGAAATGAGCACAGGTGAGGAAAACAGCAGCTCTGACTCAGACCCCGACTCGGCACCTCTCCCAGGTGCTGGCCAGAGCTTATCTGTGTCAGTACAGACCAGTCAGGACTGGAAGCCCCCCCGAAGCCTCATCGAGCACGTCTTTGTCACTGACGTCACTGCTAACCTCATCACAGTCACTGTGAAGGAGTCCCCAACTAGCGTGGGCTTCTTCAACCTGAGACCTTACTGAAGCTCTACCGCACTGCCCCTGCCCCTGCCCCTGCCCCTGCCCCTGCCCAGCCCAGGGGTCTTTTCAACCGACCTTCCCTGCTTGGGCTGGACTAGGGTGGGGAGGTGAGTGGTCTTGAGGACAGGCAGACTTGAAAGGGCTTCTCCCTCTTGGCACCCCCTCAGATTCTACCCCCCCCCCCCCCCCCATGTGACTTCACAGCCAGCTGGGTCAGGCTTCCTGTATTCCTACCTCGCTGGACCATTCCCAACAAGCCTCAGGAAATATAGATGGCCCCCTGGGGCTCAAGGTGACCGCTTGAAACAGGACAGTCTCCAGCCCTTCCTGACCTGCCCTGATGGGAAAGGTGACGCTTTGGTGACTGTCTTCATTTCCCAGGGGGCAAAGGTGTTAGGGGAAGGGGACTTGTTCGTCCAGCTTGACTGGGAGGATAATATGTCTGGAAGCAAGGGGTTCAGGGTGGGGATAGCCCAGGGAAAGTGCTGGAATCTCCCCTTCAGAGCGGTGCTTCAACACTTAGAGGTGAGGTGGTCAGTTCCAATGTGCCTGTCCCCACCCCTGACACCTGAGGGTCATGGCCTCGGATCTCTAAAGAAGAGGACTGTTACTCCATCTGGGCCCTGTGTTGATGGTGGTTCAAAGCTACCGGCTGCTCTGAGGGAGAAAGATGAGGCTGCGTGCTTTATTGTTTCAAACCCCACAGAACCTACTCTTGTCAACACCAACACCGTGGCCCCTAAGCTTTTCACGGCTGTTACTTTTTCAGAAACATCACCAGGCCTTTCTTCATAGGTGCTCCTATGTGGGTTTGAACTACCAACCTTTTGTTTAGTAGTTGAGCCCTTATCCTCTTGCACCCCAGAGGCTTGTTCCTAGCTGGTGAATTGCGACCCTCAGATACTAAAAGTCAGCTGGAGGTGGTGGGGTGTCAGCCCTGCCCTGCCGCCATCCTCTGCTGGCCAATATCCAGACCCCACCCCCACGAAGAATTCAGTCACCTGGTTTCTGAAGAATTCTAGTGACTCAAGCTCTGAGGCACCAGTGGAGGAAATGGACAGGCAGACCCAGAGCTCAATGGCTGCCAGAGAGAGAGAAAATTCAGTGTTCCAGAAAAGGTGATCCATCGTATGAGTGATACCTTGAGGAAGCCGCCTCCTCCCCTGTGGGCCCACCTATTGACAAGGGCTCCCAAGGCCTCCTCTTGGGATGGCCCTGCCTGACAACTGCACACACTTGGAGTTGTGTGCAGGGGTGTGTTTCCTGGGGGCCCACCTGCAAAGGGTCACACCCTATGCATTTCTTGACAATCCATCCCACCTTTGGGGGTGCCAAACACTGCTGTGCTCTTTTAGGGAGCAGGATGCATCTGGGGGCAGGGTGGGTCAGGCTCACCCATCCTATATCACACCCCTCCCGGAGGAAGACATTTCATGATACGATGCTGAGCTCCCCTCCCTGTTTTAAGTGTAGGGGTGGGGTGACGGTCCAGTCGGTGGGTCCCACAGGAAGTGGCAAGGGTTGCTTCATTTGGTCTGGCAAGCATCTGGGGCATGGGCCTTGGTAATGCCGAAAAGGGGTGGAGGGGTGCATCTACTTTGCTTTTAGTGATTGATTAAGCCCAGTCATCAATGTGAGTTCTTCCTGTACCCCAGGAAGGGACACGGGCCACTCCCCCGCCAAACTAGCTTGGACTCCAGGTTCCGGTATCTCAGGGCTGGGAGTTGCCTAGCACCTCGCTCTACACGCCAAATAGGAAGAGAAGGCCTGGGTATAGCCAAATTGACTTCAGCGGTGTGCCTTTGGGGGCGGACTGATTCTGCCTCTGCTGAGAGAAGGCTGGAAGGGTTACACAAATTGTAGCCCCCTGCTGCCTGGGCTTCAACACGAATGGTACCCACCACCAAGCTGAAGCTGGAAATGGGGGTCAGCCTGAGAAGAATAGGGCTGGACCACCTCCCTGGTGCCCACAGATAGCCCGCCCTTTGGACTAACCCCCACCTCAAAAAGAGCAGAGCCCTGCCCACACAGATCTCCCTTCGGAGGGAGCCAACACCGAGGGCAGGTCTCTCCAAGCCCTTCCTGAGATTGGCACTGGGAGCTGGGTTATAACTGTTAGAAATGTCTGCTTCATTAGGTGCTGGCCAGGCACAAATCTCAACAGCCAGGTCTTCTCTCCAAACCCCGATTTGGTGCCTTTCTCTTCACCAGCTCCTTCAGTCCCAAAGTTTGAATCTGCAAACACTTTACTCCCAGCCACTTTGCCTTGCTGTGTTGTGTGTGTTTCCTGGGCTTGTGCTCAGCAAACAGCTAGTGTGGAACGAACGAGAAAACGTGTGCAGGCGGGGAAGCCTTTACTGAGCAAGTCTTGGACCAGAAGCTCAGAGTTGGTTGTCTTATGTTTACCAATAAAAAGTAGTGCGTTTTATATTTTTATTTGCTGCTATTGTACGAGTGAGCTAGGCATCGGTCACGTCTGACTTAACAGTTCATGGTTTCTTTATTCCTGCGGGTTTCCTGAGTGACCTGTACCATGTGTGTGTATACTGAAGGGATGCTTGAGTCCTGCCTATATGTTGGCTGTATTGGGTTGGGAAGACAGGGTCAGCCTGCCTGCTTCCGTAGAGATCTTAGCATATTTTTATATATACTTTTGTACCAAAAAGTGTGTTCCTTTTTTTATAGTGACACTTCTAATCTGACTGGAGAAGACACTGGGCTTGGGGGTTTCGTTAGGGAACAACTTGAGGGGAGGGAAAAGGATAGCTTTGGACAAGTGCCCATAACTGGCTTGATTTGCTTTTTGATTGAAAAAGCCAAGTCATTGATGTATGCCACTTGTAATTGCTTTAATCTATGGCTGTTTGCTTGCTGTCTTAAGGAGAACAAAAGTGGCTGGTGTTGCTACTCTGGGAAAAAGTTTCAGATCTTTGCTGGAACCGACCAGCAACCCAACCAGAAGGACCAACGCATCCAAGGGTCCGAGGAAGTGCCTCCTCCCCCAAGAAGCCCACCATAGTTGAGCGACGGGGTGGCAGGAGGGTGACCAGGTCCCCCTCCGGTGCTCATTCTGTGGATTTTCTAGTGTTTTTGGGAAACAATCCTAGCATAGGTTTGTAGACTTCTATAGATTGAAGTTAATTTATTTTGTGGTGGGGGGAGGGAAGGACATTAACAAACAATGTCAGAAGATTCTTGGCTTTTTGTTACCTCTTTAGTATATCAATAAATATTTTTTTTAACTGTGACTTGTGTGCATCATAATATCTGAAAATAAACACCACCCTCAATGGAGGCCAGATACATAAATGCACCTGGATCTAGACAAACTGGTGGGCACGGGGTGTCCAAAGCTTTGGGAAAGTTCCCCCATTTTCACAGGATATGAGGAAAGATTTTTTTTTATGCAAAACAAAGGGTTGAAGGAAGTGCCCTACACAGGTGGTTCTCAACTGAAGGTAGTTTAGGGTTCCAGGAGACCTTTCTGGAGACAGGAGGGGAGGAAAGGGGACTATTACTGACCTTTAGTGGGTTGTTAAGTGCTGTCGTTGCAACTCAGCGACTGTATAGGGTTTCCAAGGAGCAGCTGGTGAGCTTGAACCGCTGACCTTGCAGTTCAAACAGCTTTGCAGTCTGGGTGCATTAACCCACAGTGCCACTCCAGGATTCCATATGTAGTGGGTAACATGTCACTAAATGATGAAGACAGCCCCTACCACAATGACCTTATCTGTAGCAAACCTGGCTTTCATCAGAAAGGTGGGGAGAAAGAGCAGACTGATGTTCACTGGGATGAAGATTGCTGTAAAAATACAGAAATGCTGCAGTTTACAATGAAAACATTCTTGAGACTAAATCTCCCAGATGTCAGTATTTAGGTTGAAGTAAAACAAAATTCTCCCTTCCCACCCGCCCCCAAAAGATTCTCTGTTGTGAGAGCCACTCAGCCCCTGGGCTCTGCCACATGTGGTAACACTTTGAAAAAGACAAAGCTATATAAATGCCAGGGGAGTTGCTGTGAAGCACAAGATGCTTTGTCAGAGGTGCAACCACCACAGGACTCTGAACTGGTCCGTGGCTCATAATAAAGAGATGATTTGCTTGTTACATCACCTCTCCTGGTCCCGTATTCCCCTCAGCACGAGGTATAAACTCATTCATAAATCTCCGCCTCCTGGGAGAATCAGCCTTCCTCTAAAGTGAAGAGTGAAGTTGGGCTTGAGTGGTGATCACCACTGACTGAAAGCTAGTTGGAGTGACGGCCTGACTGTCCCTCAAGAAGGAGGGTCCTACCACCAATGGAAAAGAAACCCCCAGCGATGCTGGGCTCCAGAAAAGGCCTGCTGGTTTCAAATAATCCTTCTAGTAGATCTTTTGTTGCTGGTCTTTAGAAAGCTCTTCCTGTTTTGTTTTGGAGACACTGGGCTCAGGTCACCCTAGCGGTCCAGTCCTCTAGCTTTTGAGAGCTGCAAGAAGGGGTTGGGATGGGGAAAGAGCGAGGTTGTTCCTCCAAGACGCCAGAGCCAGGCTCTGTTCTGCGCCCTTTTCCACTCGCTTCAGCCACACACCGGCCTTTGTTAGTTTCGGCGCTGCCGATCCTAATCTGCTGTCTTCTCAGAAAAACGGGCTGGACGGCCAAGGGCCCAACCCTGAGTCTGCCTGCTCAGGCTGCGTGGCGGCTTCCCCGGACTCGGGCCCGCGGCGCCCCTTCCAGCCGGGAGCAAGCTGCGAGGAAGCCTCACCTTTCTCGCTGTCCACCCTCGTGGCTCTAGGCCCTGGTCACAGGGAAGACACACAGAGGGCATCCACGGCGCGGCTCCTGCGGTGCCTGAGGGCAGTGAGCCTTTCTTACTCCTGTCAGATCTCAGAAAGACACCGGTCAGCCCCGGGAAGGGGTGGGCTCCGTGCAGAGGGGCTGAGGCCGCCGCCGCCTCCAGAGGGCGCGCGCGTTCCGCGTAGCTCCGGCCGCTGGCGCTTGGGACACACTGGGCTGAGGGTGGCGGGGGAATCCTCATCCCACCCCAGCGCCCGGCTGCTCCTGGGACTGAATTGCAGCATTCCAGCCGGTCTGCGAACGCTCCCGGCAGAGCCACGGAGTTCTCGAAAGCCTAGGGAAGAGACCAGGAGGCTGCAGGCTGTGTGGTGCCCCGCGGGGCCACTGAACCGTCCTCCCACCCCACCCCCGACTCTGATTGAGTCCTAGCCCTCTTTGGGTAAGGGGTACTTGTTGATGAGAAGAGGGAATGGCGTGTGAACCGAAGACGCTTGCCCTGAGCGTCCAAACGAAGTCCACTGCCATCAACTTGACTCCTCTTCATAGCGAGGTTACAGGATAGAGTAGATGCTGCCTTATAGGGTTTCCGAGACTAAAGCTTTATGGAAGCAGATTGCTTCATCTTTCTCTTCCGCTGGTGGGTACGAACAGCCGACGTCTTGGTTAGCAGTCAAGTGCTTTAACCAAAGGGACAGAAATACAATTCTGTCCCGACTCCTACAAGAGCCCAGAAGATTTCAGGTCCGCCAGAATCTGTGAACGCGCTGTGCGGGCGGAGGTCGTGGAGTCTTGCTGGACAGACTCCGACGCTGGGGAGCCGGTCCGGCTGGAGGTGACCCCGCCGTCCGGAGCCTATACACTTGGTCTCAGCTTTTCGGCAGACGATCCAGGAAATGGAATCTGGCGGAGGAGCACCTGGGCCCGGGGAGGGGGAAGGGGAGAATCGGTGGCGGTCAGCTAGACAGAAGAGATTCTACCAGTCCCCGGAGCCAATTCCTCCTCTCCAGAAACCTAGAGGAGGGCTTGGGAGGGTGCCCAGACCCCGCATCTGGGCCCCAGGCAAAAGTCTGCCGCGGGAACTCCCAGGAGCCAAGCACACACCGGCTGGACAAGGACGTCGGACTCCCGAAAGGCTAGGACGACCCTACTCGACAGACCAGCCAGGCTGGTCCCTCACGTCCGAAAGAAGGGCACTCGCCGCGGGTGATCCGCCACCCTTCCTCCCTCCCCCTGCGGCCACGCTCCCTCCCTCCCACTTTACTTCTCAAAACTAGAAGACGGGGCGGGAGCGCGCAGCCAACGCCAGTCACCTACTCCCCGGCCTGGGGCAGGATTTGCGCGCGGGCGGCCCACGCCCCTCCCCTTGAGCGCCGCGGCTGCGCAAGATAGCCCGCGAGGAGGTGGGGGTGGGGTTGGCTTTAATTCGATGACCTCTTTGGGGCTTGGAGAGGGGCTCTCCTCCTCGCAGCCTGACGCCCCCGCCGGATTGTTGCTGTCTGCGGTCAGGAAAGGCAGAGAAGCCCAACCCCCACCCCACGTTCTGCACTACCTCGGACTGTCCCACGCCCAGCGGTGGGGTGTCTGCCACCCCAAGAAGGCGGCTACAGAGGCGGCGAGGGACGTAGTCTCTGGCGCGGCGGCCCGGGCTTCACTAATCACATCGGCGCGCTCTGCGCCGGCTCGGAGTAGGCAGTTGCCTAGCAATGCCCGCGAATTCAATTTCTCAATCAATAGGCGCTAGGCGCTGCATTTCGGGGAGCACCCGCGACGCGGGGAGGGTCTGGGGGCGACAGCGTTAGGGTGCAAGCTCCGGACACGGACAGCGGAGGCAGTGGGGCGTCCGACTTTGGGACTAGAGGCGTTCGGCTTGGGGTGGGGCACGCGGGGGCTGTCTGCAGGGGCGAGCTGGGACTGGAAATGGAACTCCTGGGGTCTCCCAAGTCTACCCTGGTCCCAGGAAAGCGCAGTCAGCAGGGGAGGAGAGATACATACTGCCTCCTCTCGGGGAGACTGAACAAGGTTGTACGCTGCTGGCTCCCAACCCTCCTTCTCGCTTTCTGCTTCTAAGTGGGGTTACCCAGTTGGGTAGGGCTTGCGGGGGAACTTTCCCAGAGCAATGGGGACAAGGGTAAGGCTGGGGCTATGTACTTTTAGAATGAAGGGGTTTCTCCTTCAGAACCCTCGGACCCTCCTCTTCAGTTTGGGGGGGGGAAAAAAAGAATAAAATTCAGACGCTTTATTTACAAAGTATATATTTAAACACGTAAAAAGAGGGTCTTGGATACAGACATTCACGACCGCAGAAGACAAGTATCAAGCTTCACTCGTGAGCCCAGGCGGAGCTGAGCCGCGGTTTGTACAAATCTTAGAATTCAATAAACCCGACACGCGCACACCTGAGCTGGCTGCAGAGATTCCTGGCCCGGTAGCCCGGCCCCTGCCCACCCACCCCTAGGTCTGCGTTGCAAAAAGGAGCAAGGGACACACACACACACACACACACACACACACACACATGGCAACGGACAGACGGCAGGACGAAGGGGTGGTGAGGCAGAGCCCGGCTGGCGCGAGGTCTGAGGGAAGAGACCAAGATGGGGTTAGGAAGGGGGGATGGGCGCAGGGAGGAAGGGAGGAGAAGGTGGCAGCCAGGTAAAGACACGTGTCCCCAGCAACCCTCCACTTGGTGACAGACATGTCCCTTCAATTAAGTTTCATCTGAAAATAGCGTTGACATGTAAGTAGATACACTTGGTCAATGCGCTGTTTTATACAAAGTCTAAAATAACAGTTTTACAAATGTGAGCAGGTAAAAATCCCCATTCTCGGGGCTTCTCTTTATAGGCGCAATTTGATCATCAAAAACAATCATTTATTACACCGTTTCCCTCTTTTTCTCTTTAAAGGCAAGCAAGTCCGGAGAAGAGAAGGGCAAGAAGCGAGACGTGGGAAATCTGGGAGGTCCAGGATGGGGCTCCCCGCTCAGTGCTCGACAGCCTCCAGCCCAGCTCCCCACCTCACTCGCCTAGTCTGTGCTTGATCCCGACGTTCAGGGCCCGTCCCCCCTCGTTGAGCCTAAGGAAGTCAGCTACTCGCTAGCCCTTTAAGGGCGGGGAGGCTCGGGATCAGTCCTCCCCGGGACGGGGGCTGATTTGTGCTTCTGAGTCAGAAGAGGGGCGCTGGGCTGAGCCCTCGGAGCGCAGCGTCTCCGGCCCCACCCTGGCCACCCCCTCTCCCTGGCTCCCGCTGCTCCCTCCCCTTGGCGGCGTCTGCCTGTAGAGTTCAAGTACAGAACACTGCGCCAACCGAAAAGGCCTATAAATTATAGCTTTTGCTTTTAAGGAGGGGAAAAAGGAAAACGCCAAAGTTCGAATGCGCATTCTTAGAGGAACGCACCGCCCGTCCCTTGGTCCCCGTGGCCCTCCGAGTTCCCCGGGTCCGCTCGGGCTGTTGGCCCAGACCTTCCCCAGAGCTCCCAGCCGGCCCGCCGCCACTCCGCCCTCGCGGGTCCCGCCGGGTGGGCCTGTCTGGCCCGGCGTCAGTCCATCCGAGAGCTGGCGTGCAGCCCTACCCGGCGGGAGCTCGCCTGGTCCAACTCCTCCTGAGCGGTGGGGGCCACCATCCCTTCTGGGGAAGCTAGAATACGCGACAAGCAAAAGTCCACCCCAAACACTTTTCTTGCAAAAACCACGGTCTGGAACTCCGGGTCCTGACACGCAATCCTCTTAATTTATCCTAGCATCTCGGGAATGTAAACAGATTTCGCTGGTTTCTTTTCCTTCTGTGGAGTAAGGAAAGGAAATAAAGGACATGGGGCGGGCGTTTTCTCCACATGAGGAACACACCATCTGTGTGTACAGCTCACGCTGTACACCTTCCCCATAAAGTGCTTTTTGGCCGGTGGTCCTGGGGTTTAGCCGCCTGCTCCCACCCACCTGCAGCTTTTAACCTTCAACATCACATACACACACAAAAAGGACCAAGTTCAAACTTTTTTCCCCTAATAGACATCTGGATCTCCAAAAAGGTAAGAAAAGGACAGTAAAATAAAACTGATCCCCCCACCCACCCACCCTTTTTTTCTGATTGGGGAGCTAACCCTAACTCTGCCTGGCCAACGGGGTGGAGAAAAGAAATGAGGGGGGGGGACTGCCTTGGTTCCAGGGGCCTGGTGTGGGGGAGGCAGGGAAAGGGACAAGCAGAGTCCCTGCAGACAATTTCAAAGACAGTGTGCAGGACTGGTAGGTCCAGGTCCCCAAACTTCCTAGTCCCCCGGGTGTTGAGGGTCCCTGCAGCTCCAGCTTGGCCTGTCTGCCCCCAACTAAACCACACAAAGTTTTGTTTTTTCTCTCTGTCTCTCCTTGTTTAAATAAAACAACTTCAAGAGTTGAAATATATATATTTAGATTTTTTTCTTAAATAACATATTTACATCTAATAGAAAATATAACTCTAGAGATAATCTTTCCAACCGAAACTGGAGGTGGCTGAGGGGGAGGAGCTGGGGTGTGTGACATTAGAGGCCAGACCAGCCAGAGAGCTGATGGTCACATCCCACCCAGAAAGAAAAAGCTCTATGCCGGGTTTCCAGCACTGCCTCGCCCGCCCTCCAGCTTGTAGCTCCTGGGCTCCCCACCCCATCCCACCCCCAGCATTTCATCTTTTCTCTTTAAAAAAGCCTTGGTCCGTGTTACTTTCCTTTATGGTGACGGTCAGAAAGTTTGAGGTCACGTCGGTGACCACCACCTTCTCCAGATTAGTCAGAGAAGGACTCCAGGACTCTTCTTCTGGATCCCCCAGGATTCTGGCCACTGGGATCCTGGCGATGAGGGAGGGCCTTCCCCCTTGTGCCCCCATGTCCCGGTATAGGCTCCCCACAGAGCCCGGAGTGCCTGAGCTGTGCCGGACCCGAGGGCCACCAGGATCCAGGGCACCCTGGCCTTTGGCCTCCAGGAAGGCAGCCCTGTGCTTTATGACTCTGGCCGGGAAGGTGTCCATGGCCAGCTTTCCCGTGGCCTCCGAGGCACTGGGGCTAGCCACACCACACTGCGCCAGGTCCGAGTCCTGTCTCCGGGCCAGCTGGATGACACTGTGACCCACTGGGAACTTTCCTGCCCCGGAAGGGGCGTCGTCCAGCTTCCTGCCCTTGAGGTACTCTCCAAGGCCGTCACTGGGTTCTCCCAGCGGCCTCTGCGAGGGGTCCAGGAGCTCCTTCCGGGGCTTGGGGCCTCGTTTCTTGGAGCTGTCTCCGCCACTAGGAGAGCTGGGCTTGTCTTCAGTGCGGCCTGAGCCACGCTCCCGCTCACGTTCCCGTTCCCGCTCCCTCTCGCGGTCCCGAGGAGGTTCCGCTCGGCAGGTGCTGCTGGTGCTGGTACTGCTGCTGCTCCCAGGCGGAGACAGACCCATATTCCGAAGGCCCTCGCGGGCCCGGGAGGTGGATGCCAAGTCCTGGGGTGAGCGGCCGGGATAGGGGATCCGGATACCCCGGGCTGTGTCACTTCGGAACTCGTAAGTTTTGGCTTTTGCTTTGGCCTGGGCCTGCGGAAGAGAAGGTAGCGTCAAGAGTGCCGGCCCTGTCTGCCAGGACCCCTCTTCCGGTTCTGGCTCCAGCCTTCCCCTTTCCCCTCCTCCTCCCCCTCCAGGCCTATGGGTGTCTATCTGGGGATGGCAGGCTGGGGGGGGAGGGGTAGAGCACGTGCCCGGAAGTAACTCTTTGCTGCTCTATAGGATTCTCCGTCATCTTGTTGGGGTCTGGTGGGGTCTCGGAGGATAAGGAATGCGCTAGTGTGGCTAAGGTCCTCCCTCTAAGTGCAGCACATCTAACCGTGGCCACCGACTTGGTGCCATCCTGTCAGGGAACTCCCTCTTGAATTAACACAGGCAGCACCTAGGAACCCTCCATTGATTCCTACTTCCCAGGATCCCTCCGCACAAAAGGGATCCCTTCAACATTCCTGCCCACTATTGGACAGGGTCTCTCGGTACCTTGAGGAGGAACGTCTTGGGCTTGGGGCCTCGCTTTTTGGGACCATAGAGCTCCATCTCTCGTTCCCTGCAGAGAAAAGGAGGAAGCATGGGGCTTGGGACTAAAGAGCCTCTCTGGGGCTTCAAGAGGCCTGGGCGTCAGCTTCTAAGTGAGCAGCGGGCTGAGAGGGCCTGTACCTTTCCTCAAAGGCGGCGAGCAGCCGAGCATCTAGGATGTTCTCCTCGGGCTCCCATGTGCTGTACCTGCAGAAGACGGCGAAGGAAGGGGGCATCAGTCCAGGTGCCGGGGGCAGCCAGGGTTTGCAGTAACTTTTCTAGCTGTATTGCATTGTGTCTTTACGTGACGGGGGAGGGGGAAAAGAGGAATAAAGGAGTCTCCCGAATAACAGTCTGCGTCGGGAGGATGCCCAGACCCTACTTACTTCTGCGACCAGCCCTTCCACTTCACGAGGTATTCCATGCGTCCCTGCGGATGCAAAGGCAAAGACGTGTGTGTGCACGGAAAGAAATGCATGATTAAGGCCAGAAGAAATCCACGCAGAAAATGCATGCACCCAATGAATGCACGAAATACCCTAGCGAAAGGCACACGCCCGCTGCATCACCCGTACACCAAACGCTGCACAAAGTACGTGCACCGGAACTCACCCCCACCCCGCCCCCCACCCATGCAATCTGTGCAACGGTGCAAGTCTAAGGAAAGCGCTGGGGCGCAGGGCCGCCGCCGCCGCCACCGCCACGGCCGCAGCCGCTGCTGGGACCTGGGGGAAGGGAAGCTGGGCTGCAGCAGGGGGAGGGAACCCGAGCCGGGAGGGGAGGGCCCAGCCAGGCTCAGCCCGAGCCCCTGGGCACCTACTTTCCGTATGCGCCGCTTCAGGAGGGCCTCGGCCGCGAACACCCGCTCCCCCACCGCCGAAAGCTCCATGTTGACTCGCAGCTTCCCCTCTTGGCCGCTTCCAGAAGCAGAAAAGCAGCAGCCAGCGCACGACAGACCATAATACTCTCGCGCTGACGTCAGTTCTCCTCCCCCCCCTCCACCCCCCGCCCCTCCGCCCCCGCCCGCACTCCTGTGCCCGCCTCTCGCCGCCCGCCGCTTCCTCCCGCCCCACGTGTTGCTAACGACGTTGCTAAAGCCAAGCGGCCGGCTGCAGCTCCCGGCGCGCTGATTGGGCAAGCAGCCGGCGGCCCCCGGGCCACGCCCCTCTCTCTTTCTCCCCCGCGTTGTTACGTGACCTGCGTTCCAATAGCCAGGGGGCGGAGTCGGGGCGGCTCCGGAGACCCAGCGCGAGGGAGTGGGGGCCGCAGGCGGAAATGATGTCATGGGAAGGCGGGCTCAGCCGCTGTCAGTCCGGGTGCTGGCCAGGGGGTGCCCTCCGCTCTCTGTCTTCACCGGGGGCCCCCTCCTTCGTCGTCCCGCGCTTCTTCCGGGGCGCGGCGTCCCCCACAGCTCTCTCTCGGACCCCCGCGGCGGGGTCAGCCGGGCCCCGCCCCCTCAGCAGACCCCTGCCCGCCCCACCCCCACGCGGCCCCGCCCCTCCCCCTCACTACCACCGCCGCTGCACAATGCACAATGCACAGGTGCGGGCGCCGGGCCGCGCCCGAACCCGCAGACCTGGCGGCGAGGCCTGGCCCCCTCGGAGCCTCCAGCCGACCCTCCGTCTCCATAGCAACGGCTGCCCCCGCTGCCGCCAGCCCCATCCCGCTAACAAATCAATGTGCCTGTGTCTGGCTTCTGTCGCACAGCCCTGCCCTCGGCCATCCCGCGGGCCCTGTGAGCCGGCGCGGACGGCTGCCTGAGGTTGGGCGGCTCCAGCCCGGGAGCCTGCGGGGACGCCAACGCTCTGTCTCTGCCCTCTGACCCGTCCCCGACGCAGCCACCTGCCCCGGTCTCCCCTCCCCCACCCCAGCTCTAGGCCCCGGGGCCTTGGGGGCAGGCCGTGGACGCCTCCAGCGCGGGGCCTGGCGCTCCGCCGGGGTACATCAGACTCTCCGAAAAGCCTGTGTCCGCTGAGCCTGAGCCGCCACTTCCTGTCCACGGCTCTCCCCGACGCATGCAGCCGATACCGGCGCCACGCGGAAAGTGGCAGGGACGGCGCGGGCGACGGCAGAGGGGCTCCGTGCGGAGCTGGCGGGTCGGGGGCAGAGGGGGACGAGAGCCAGGCGACGTGTCCTTGGGGTGCACACAGCGCACACACTCGTCCTCCCACGCCCTGGGCTGCGGGTCCGTGCGGTGCTGCAGTACGAGACCACGCACCCCTACTCCTTCTTGTCAGCCCAGCTGCAGGTCCCCGCGCCCGCTACTCGGAACCCGCGGCTTAGTTAAAAGCTCCATGGCCAACGAGAAGCCGTTTCTCCGCCTAGGGATGAAGTGGGGAAAGAACGAGAAGTCGGAGGGGAGGGGCGGGCAGGAAGCTCCGGGCGGTGGGCTCGCCGCCAGTCCCCTCTCTTCTAAGTCCAAGGGTCGCCTTCCTGCCCCCGCCCCTGGAAACGCGAGCAAAGCCTTTGGCCTTGCTCCCCAACTTTGTCAGGTCGATCCAGGATGGACACTCTCATCTCCCCCAGCCGTTCAGTTGTAACGAACAGCGAAGGGGTGACACCCAGATGGCCCCCGACGACCTATGCGAGCCGCCCGGGAGAGGCCGCCGACGGCCCAGTCCTTAATCATAAAAAGTCATTCCTGGTAACAAATAGTTTCGTCGGCCTGTGCCAGCGATACAGCTGTTTCTGTTTAAGCTTAAATACTTTCCAACAGTTTGGGCAGTAAAAATAAAGTCGGCCTCAGCCGCCTATAAGTGTCTGGTTTCCCCGCCCAGAGAAAGCCCACCCTCGGCTCTGGGCCCCAGTCGCTCAGCACGCCCGCCCGGCCGCCCCCTCCTGGGATCCGCTGCCAGTCGTGGCCAGAGCTGCCGGACTGTCTGCGTCCGCTCCTACAGCCCCAGCGGCCAGCTACGGGTTCGAGGGCCACCTTGAAGGCGGAGGGAGGGCGTCTGCCGGCGGCAGCGAGCTGGGGGACCAGACTGCCCTTCCTCCGCCCTCCCCGACTGCTGCAAACTTGCCTGAGGCTGGCAAAGAGCTGATTTCTCAGTCCTGTCCCGGGAGTTGTGTTTGCGTTGGGCGCTTTCATAGACCCGGGTTTCTACGAGGTTGCAGTATTTCCTACTGAAACAGTTAGTTTTCATCCTCTTTTTATTTTTCGTGCTCTCTTTCTGTCCCCACCCTCTTCCTTTCCTTATCTCCTCGCTCTCTCCTTCCTTTCCCTTCTTCCTCTCTTTCTGTCCCCCCTTTCCTTGTTTGCCTAAATGACTGGATAGCTTGACGTGGGGAAAATGGAAACCCGACGCTGCCTGCCTGCCCTTTCTTCTGGAGGGGGATTTAGTAAGTCTTCACCTCTCCCCCACTCTCCCTTATATCCCGCCAGTCTTTCTATCTAGCTAATGACATTCTTTCGGAAACGCTTGCTCTGAGCAAAATGATCTTGCGTGAGTTTGTCGAGGTTGGGGGATTCCTGCAGAGTTGATGGGCAAGGTAGAAGTCGACCTCGAAGGAACTGGAGGTATAAATAATCGGAGAACAGTCGTAGCGCTCTTTTCCGCGGCGTGGATGGAGATGGCTCATTGTGCCAAGGGATGAAGACTCCCCCTGGGGAGGCTGGTTCAACCCTTCCAGGTAACGCAGCCACCAGCTCTCCACGGGAGAGCAGGGCTGCAGAGGGTATGAAACAGGTCCCTGGGTTACCTCTGTTTCCCGAAACTTGAAACTAAAGGAGAGGTGGCGGGTCTGAGAAATGAGTTGGTCGTCCTACGCCACTGGGAGTTGGGGGTCTTCGCTTAGTGGTCATTGGGGAATGCCTGTGAATGCCGGGAGAGGGCGCCAGCGCGCAGGGTAGAGGTGATGGTATCTTTCCCGAAGAGTCCGGACGGGTCTTTCTGATCTGGGCAACGGATGGTACAATCGTAGAAAGAGGAGAACAGGGTCCATCATTCCTCATCTGACTGACCTTCCCTCCAGTGTCCAGATCAATTCTCCCCACCCCACTTCTGGCCTCCGCATAACCGCTTCCCTGGGTTCAAAGTTAGAACACTGCCTTTCCCACGTGCACCTCCCAGGCATAAATAAAACAAAGTTTCCAAGAACAAGCGCTCGCGGCTCTTCATCCCACCGCTGGGCAGCCTGAGGCTGCGGTGGCTGCCAGGTTCGCGTGCGCTGCCTCTTCAGTAAATAAGGTAACTGCTTCCTATTACTTTAGCCCCATATGGCTGCAATTTGAGTGTCTTTGGAGACAGTGCGTGTGTTTGGGGAGGGAGCGGGGGGGGGAGTGAAAGTGGAAATCAAACGCTCTCAGATCACATTTTTATGAAGGAAATTATCGGCTAGCAACCTACCCCCACCCGGCTCCCGGAGACTGAGTCTAGCTGGCTCCTTTCTTTGTTTATGGGAATGCGGGCACCAGCCCGCCTGGGGACACCTGCTCCCCGTACTTTAGGGCTCCCGCCCCCTGATCCAGCACTAGTACTGGTGTCGGAGCGGAGGGCCTGCGGCGGTTCGGGACAGTTGGGAGCCGCCAAACTTTCGCTCCCGCCGCCCCATTGCACCGAGGGCCAAGGAAGCCGCGCTCCAAACCCCGGCCTCACCCGCCGTCAGGGCCTCCCTTTGCCCGAGGCCCGCGCGGTCTGAGAGAAGGGGCGCGGCGGGGCAAGCGCGGGCGAGATGCCCGGGCTTCGGGTCGCCGGCCAGTCAGCAAGTCCCGGCGTGTCCTGTCGCTTCAGGGTGAGACCGGGCCTCGGCTCGTCCAGCGTTTCGGAGCGTTTCAACTCCGCGGCTCGCCGGGCATCGGACCTGCCCGGTCTTGGCCGCGACGCCGGCCAATTGTGAACCCAACTGTTTGCCTGGGGCACGTCGCAGGCCGGCGGGCACAGGAACCACGACTGACAGCGAGGTGAACCGCGGAGCCCCGAGGAGGCGTGGCTGTGTACGAGGTGGCGCAGACTAGGCGGCCCGGTACTCCGCGCCTGTCTGTCGGGCGCTGCTTACTTACTCTTTCAGGGATTTTATGTGTGGTGGCCCACTGACACGTTGGAAAAACGTTCAAGGCCAGGCTAAAAGTTCTCAAGACTTTTGTTTCCTGGCCATCCAGGGCCCCAGAAATCACTCTCCCCTCCCCAGAAGATATTCAGACTCTTCCCCCTTAAAGAAACTCTCGCATCCAAATGCAAAGAAACATCTTTTTAATCATTCCCACAAGCCTTTGCACACACTCTGCAAGCCACGGAAGCTCTGACTTCTTCCCCCTTCAACCACAGAACCAAAACCAAAGCCCCTCTTTCCCACTTCCTGGGACTGTGGGGATGAGAGGTTTAATGAGTGGTCAATGTATGCATTACCGAACTTGGGAATCAACAACCATCCCCATTTTGCAGATGAGAAAACAGACGCAAAGAGAGCCTAGTGTCATTTGCCTAGTGACACACCGCTGAGGTTTCTGCCTGAGAAAGCTTAGCCAGAGCTCTCTGACACCCCACATAAGCAATCGGGGTCCCTGTTGCCATTTCAGTTCCTCGAAGGTTTGAGGAAGGAATTGGAGGTAAGAAAGGGCTGGTGGATCCTTCAGGAACTCGTCACAGAGGAGGTCAGGTTCCTTTGCTCCTGAAACAATCAGAGCTGATGTGGCTGAGCATTGACCCACAGGGGAACTTGTCCATCGGTGGTGATTATGTGCCAGCCGCCCTGACCCACAGGGGAACTTGTCCATCGGTGGTGATTATGTGCCAGGCGCCCTGTGTAGGGCTTCTGAGGCTATACATCTCTACTGGAGCAGAAAGCCTCTTCTTTCTGCCATGGAATGGCTGGTAGTTTCCAATCGCTGACCCTGAGGTTGGCAGCCTGACTGTAACACTGGGGCTGAATCAACAGGCACACCCTACTTCC